ATATCTTAAAATTTCCTACTGTCTGCAAGTTTTTTTTCACTTGTACATCTAATTTTTTCTTTGCAAAGATTTGCAAGAAGACGTAATTTGAGATGTTTTGAAGCGGGAAAAAATAAAACAACGTTTAAAATAAAAAAATAAAAAATGAGACGGAAACGTAATTCTTTTTTTAATTAATGGAATAAATTAAATTTAATAATTTATTTTTTGTAAAAGCGTTTCGAAATTGATAGTTTTTGATATTTATTTGAGATTCGAAATGACATTCTTTTAGGCACTAGTATCACAAACTAGTATCTAAAAGTTTAGACACTAAAAGACACTTTTTGGGCACTAAGTAAATTGAGCCAGGTTTCAAAGTTGTTGTAGGTGGTCTCGTATAAGTTTTTTGACTTCTCGGGCACTAATGTGGATAGCGCTGTTTCAGCAGCTTGTTGAATATCCAAAGACACGTCATTATCACTCACTTTTTCACAAAACTTTGTAGGAAATACGGCGGACGTTTGAACCTGACAGATCTTTGTCAATTTAATTACCTACATTTAGCTAAGATTTGTTAACACTATATCTCTACTAATGCATGATTGAAATACCGTATGATCGAAAAAAAACGGCGTCCAGTGGGCTTGGAAATGACGTGATCGATGACATTCCGCATATAATTTTACATTTAAAATGACAGTGATCTTCATTCCATTGCTATCGCTGATGCCGCGCCGGTTTTTTTCGATCATACGATATTAAAAAATATGGTACTAAATATCGTATCAATGTATAAATGCTGGTCGCACGATTGTGCCTTGCTAAAATTTAGTTAGATTAAATAAAACATTATCGATTGACATGCCGTTGTAACATGTGAAACAAGCTGGGTTAATAATTTAGAATATGTATTAGCCCTACGTCAGTTATTGTTAATTCATATGGTAGTCTTCACAACCCTCCAAATCTCTGATTTAATTATTTATTATCCACAGTTGGGACCTCATTAATTATGCTTATTTTTTTCATACAATGTGTTGTGACAATTAAGATAATGACAGAACTATACATATTTTTGTTTAACGCCAAGTTTTAAACAGCCTTTACACTATCCCCGAAATGTTTTACGAAATATTTCTGGAAATATTTCGTAAAACATTTTGCAAAACATTTCTGGAAATACTTTCTGAAGTAAACTGGATATAAGCCCGTGTTATAAAAATCAGTTCCCACGTACACAAAAATATTTCGTTTTAATCAGTGTCTAACATTATTAATTACAATATAGTAAAAAATATATTTCCAAAACTTAAAATCGTAAAACGGCTGGGCAATATGCAGTGACTAACTGTTCTGGCGGTCCGCTTTTTATATATATTTGATTAACAAAATATCATCGTAACAACAGCTGTTTTAGAAACGTCTAGGTTTACTTATTTTACTGAGATTTATGAAAAAAAAATCCTTTGCCTCAGGTACAGATACCGCCACGTTTTGGAAATAGCTCAAAACGAAACAAAATTGAGCGAGGCAACAGGAAACCCCTCTAAAAAATCTCTTCACGCCCTCTTCATTAGATTTCACGCGCTTTTAAGAATCGAAAGTAGGTCGAGGCAAACCGAAGTGGGTCAAGACAACTAGAAATAAATCAAAATGCGACAAAGTTGGACGATAAAATGCGACGGAGTTTTACTTATTTAATTAGATATGTGTATTATCGAGTGCTTGAATACAAGTATCCAACCTGTAATAATATTATGCAGCGTATAGAGCTGGAAAGTTAAGATAAAATAGTTTACCTATATTTTAGGACGTTATATATTCGAAATGCAAATTCTTCCGCAAACTTTTGCTCTAATTATATAATTCAAATTGCGTGTAACTACTGCAATTAATTAGCGGTCTTATATCGGTGACCGTTGTCGTTCGTGTGCGACTACGACGCGGGCAAACGTTGCGCATAGTTATAATTTGTCAACGAGACTCTCGAGGCGTCGGAATTTCTCTCCTCTTTATAAACTAATATGGTGGCAACGGCGGGCTCAAAAGCGTCCCGTTACGACGGAAACACGACTCCACGGGAATATTAGGTGAGTTGCGGCGGTTTTAGAGGGTTCGTACGGGAATTTCTTTACGTTGTCGGTTGTCGCTCGGTGTGAGCCTGATGCTTTTTATGTTCGGTATGTTTGTTGGGGAAGTTAATATTGAAAAAGAAAAATGATAAACGGTTTTTAAAGACGTGTGCATGTGTCAAGTTGAAATATTTAACGTTCTCATCTTTGCTTTTTTTGTCATGTTGACAACATGACATGGCGCTTGGAGAAATACTAAGAGCTGGCAAAGGTTAGTTTTGGGTCGAGATTTCCCTATGTAAGAAGAGTACAATGGGTTTATAATGTACTAAACAAAGAGAGAACAGTAAAAACGTTGCCAGACGTATGAAATAAACCGAGAAACTGTGCACATTCCTAAGAGACATGGAACCCAGTAGATTCGTCGCGGTTGACCGATCGATATTGTTGTCGAATATCGATACTTTGCGGTACTACTATCTATTTGATACTTTCAATTCTAGTATCCCATACTTTGTATTCGTAACTTTGATACTTCAGCAATTGAGTACTCAGTAACGAATAATAAATACAACGTATGGGATATCAAAATCAAATGATACTCACTATACTTCCAACTAATAGTAAATTTTTATACTTCAGCAACTGAGTATGTACTCAATTGCTGAAGGGTCAAAATAGACTCTATCAGTTGGAAGCATAGTGAGCGTATCGTTTGATTTTGATATGTTTACGAATTATAGTTACCTATATAGGGTGCTACAAATTCGAGGTACGAGCATTGGTATCTCGGTAACCGTAATAGATACGAACATGGTTAAATTGGGGCAAAGTTGCGTATTAGGGTGTTCACCGAGATGCCATCAAAAAAGATGTAAAAATTTCAAGGATTGCTGAGTTTTTTGGAAAAAACTGATTTTTTTGAAAATCAAATTTATTTTTTCCTGTCTTTAGTTTATAGAAAAACAAAAAACTAATTACACATTCTCATAGCCACTTTATTAGGGCTATCTGATGGAATTTTTAGATTTTCAAATTAGCTGACAATTTGTGAGATACAGAGACGAACTTAATTTTTTTAAATACGGACCTGCATTTTTTATTTCAGGCTTTGAAAGAACTCGGTCTCCTGAATACAATGATATGCCACACTTTATACTTTTTTTTGTTTTGGATACCTTAACAGCAACAAAACTATTTAATTGTTATTTAAAATAATTTCAAGTCCGACTCTGGTTTCTTAAATTATTTAATCTGATTATATTCATCGGAACAATATTGATCAGCGCTAATTAACATTGAATAAGGAAAATTGAGCCAACAGGAAGATTCAAATAAATAATATCCAGCAGGTCAGAAATTTAAAGATATCATTGGATTTTCCCTATTCAATGTTTTACCCCACGTCATTGTTAAGTTTGAAAGCTTATCAATATTGTAACGATGAATAGATTAAATATTAAAAAAAACAGAGCCGGACTTGAAATTAGTTTAAATAAATTGTGTGTAAATAAGTGTCAAAAGAAAAAAAAAATTAAGTGTGGCATATCATTGTACTCAGGAGACCGAGTTCTTTCAAGATTTGAAATAAAAAATGCAGGTCCGTATTTAAAAAAAATTAAGTTCGCTTCTGTATCTCAAAAATTATCAGCTAATTTGAAAATCTAAAAATACCATCAGATATCCCTATTAATGTGGCTATGAGAATGTGCAATTAGTTTCTAAAAAGTAACGACAGGAAAAAATAAATTTGATTTTCAAAAAAATCAGTTTTTCCCAAAAAACTCAGCAAATTTTGATGGCATCTTGGTGAACATCCCAAAGCGCAACTTTGCCATAATTTAACCATGTTCGTATCTATTACGGTTACCGAGATACCAATGCTCGTATCTCGATTTGTAACACCCTGTATAAATAATTCGTCTATTTATAGGTGATTACGGAATAGGCATTTATATAGAAAGAAATAATAAAGTAGAAAACTTCAAATTTTACTTTTTGCTAAATTAATAACTGATTAGAATGTAAAAATATAATTAAAAAAAAATAAAATAAAAAGGTTACACGATTGCTGAAAATTGACACTAAAAGTAAATGGATTTTTTTAAATTTTTCTTATTTAAACATCTTGTAAAAGATCCGAACTTAAATAAAAAAAGGAGTTTCAATATCTAAAGTGGTTTTTGAGTTATCGCGTGTTATAAAAAGTTGAGTTTTTAAATTATCGCGATTGCTGATATTTTCTCGTTATAAAAAAATGGACTCCTTAAAGATATCCTTATAATTCCACTTCAGATGTTCAGAAACATATCTGACGATTTTATCTAGTTGTCCTTTCGACAAAAAAAGTCTTTTTAAAAATAAGCGGTTTACAATCGTGATTTTACTTTATTTGATAGGGAAATGCGTACCGGCGAAATGTGGCAACGCCGCAACAGCACACCGTCGCATTTCTCTCACTCCGACTTAATAAGATCCCTATGCGATTTACTTCCACACAGGTAAATACCGACTCAAAATAAAACCATCGTTGCACCATCGTCGACCATCATTGCGAGGCGCCAGACTCGGCCAACCATACACTATTTGAGTCACGCGTACGAAGATATACGGGAAAACGCAGAGACAGTATGTGGTACGAAGATCACTAGAGTAAACGTCGGAAAACTAGGCATTTTGAGACATACATTTATACGAACTTTTTTAATATTATTTTTCTTTGCAGAATATTCTGCCAAAATTTCCGGAATACAGTTCGAACCACCCTATATAAGCCTCGTTACTAAAATCGGTCCCATTCAAAAGATTACTATGTTTAAAATATTATTTTGGGTATGTGTCTTTTGAAACCACGTCTCGAAAGGACTTTGAGGCATAGGTACCTATAAAACAAACTGTTCTATATTCTTAGAACCCCGAAACCACTACATTCATTATTCGACTTACATTATCCTGCGGACTAGTCTGCACTAGACTCTCATCAGTTATGGGAACAGAGCCATTAGTCCATCTTACGGTGGCCGCTGGTCTTGCTCCGTAGACATCGCAAATTAGCAGGACGTTTGTACCTTGGACCACGTGATTTTTCACTCCGGATAATTCCATCCTTGTCGGACGCACTGCAAAAGAGAAGGTATATATCATTAGTACATCTATATAGTTCTTAGCAGATACCTGGTGCGTCTCAAAAGTAGCTCACTTTTATAACTTTTTGTTAGATAAAACACGAGATTTGGTATGTTAGTATATGACATAAATTAGGATTGATTGACGAATTCAATTGTTTTCATTATTGTATTTCAAAGTTGATATATCATATGTCAAGTTTTGACAATTTCGTATTTGGTTAATTTGAAATTGTAAAATGCAGTTTATAGTTGTTAACAATTTGACTCTAAATACATGTGTGCGGTCCCAAATTATTCGTAAAAAATGCTTTTCCAGATATGCTAATGAGCCACTCTCGTTCCATTTGAAAAAATTGAGATATGATAAAAAATACGATTTGAGCATCTTTAAACCGGCCAGGACAAGACACGAAAAACATCACAGGATTAAATATATTTCTTAAAGGCTCCTTGATTAAAAATTAGTGCTTTTAACACAACCACGGCATTCTAGATTGGAATTTAAATAAGATTTTTTAAAGAAATGTCAAGTTAACATATGGTTTGTCATTCTATTCGAAGTGTCATTTTCTATCGAATAAAGTAAAAAAATACCGAGGGTGATATTTAAGACTCAAAAGTTGTAGAAATTTCCGGTGGAACAGGAAGTGACCGAAAACAATTGAATAGGTCAATCAATCCGAATTTATGGGATATTCTAACATACTAAATCTCGTTTTTTATCTGAAAAAAAAAGTTATAGGGGTGAGCCACTATTAAGACGCACCCGGTATATGTATAAATTGTTTATGGATGAAAAACGAATGACAAAGATATGAAAAAAGTTTAATTTAAAGGTATGATTCAAAAAAATGATGAAGTTGTAAGATCTTTGCTGCATGAATTTTGCTGCATGAATTGTATGCTAAATTTCTATTTTTATTGCACTATTTTTAAAGGAATATGCGGTGTTGCCCTACTGTTTTTTATTTACCGAAATTTTGGTTAAAAACAGTATATCTAAAAAGTGGTAAAACCCGAAGTGATTTTTTTTACTTTATTAATATTTACCTATATTTTCCTAAACATCAAGGATAGCAGAATAAATCCGTGATGAAAAAACTCAAAATAGTTAATTTAACAAATAAATAAGTATAGAAAATGATTAAAACCGTAAACTATTAAAAACACAAATAAAGTGAAAACTATTTTTTTCAAATCAACGAAAACAGAGCCGTCAACATCAAAGAGAAAAAGTTTAAACAAAAAATCGATTATATCATTTAAGAAACTTTTTTTCTACATATTCTACTAGCATAGTTTAAGGGAAAGAGTAGTTGTTTGTTGCACTCTCGCAAATATTTTCTGCCAGTTTTTGCAATCTGTCGAATATCGGCAGATTGCAAAGCGTTTCAGTTGAATTCCGTCCGTCGAGCTGCGAGGTTCGAACGTTGCGTCCCTGCACAGAGACGGATTGACAAAAAAAGAGTGCCTTACTGTGTGCTGCTATTAATTGTAGTAATAATTCAAAAAATTGTTCTTTAAGTTTTTTTAGAACTTAAAAAAACTATCCATCGGATGAGTTTTTTTAAGTTCTCATTAGAAGAACTCATCCATCGGATGTAAATCGGCAAGCTGATAGTAATTATCAATAAACATTTAATTATATTTGTTTATCTTAGAAGCTGAGATATTATGTAATTAATTAAATGTTATTATTTTTTTAGCATGTAGGCAGATTTTAAAAATAGCTTTTTGGATATACAGGTTCAACAGTCTCAAATATGCGCATGAAAATATTTTTTGGTCCGGGGATTTGTCAAAAAATTTGTATTCCAATAATAATTTACGAGATAATTTATATAGATTGGTTTTTGAAACAATTTTAGAGTAAATATTTTGTACATCTAAAGTCTCCGCAAATTATTCATAATTTTTAATTGAAAGAATTTTATAATAGCATAATCTCTTATAAATTTAGTGGACTCTATTTTTTATGTTTTTTTTTATTTTATTTATTTTTTATTATAAGTGGTCGTAATATAACAATATCCAAAATATTATAGACAAAATATTGAGTTTATATTTGAGGGAAGAAAAGTGCCACACCTAGCTTTAAACCACCGTAAATATACAGGGTGGCCCATTAGTGCGAGGAAGTCCATTATCGTCGCCGTTGTCGAAGATGTGAAAAAAGTTTTATTCACATGTTTCAAGGTTTATAAAGGAGCGTATCCTAAAATATTTTGTTATATACAGGGTGTCTTAAAAAAATTATGGTAAAGTTAGTTTTACTTTGTTTTAAATTATTTTACATCATTCTATATACATTATTCTATATATAGGGTATTTTTTATGGCGTCACCAAAATCGGAATATTTAAAATGGAACATCTCAATTTTTGTAAATGCAACATTCTGAGTATTATTTTTCTGTCATATGCAGAATTAAAAAGTGAACATTTTGTTATTTAAAGTGTTTCTAAATTTTTAACGGTTTCGCAGATATTCACATATGGCTCTTTCAACAGTAAATCTTTATCAAAGCCACCTAATATGATCTTTGTCTGATATTTTATCGTTGAAAAACCCATATGTAATGAAATATAGAAAATATTTGCAAAACGGCTAAAAATTTAAGAACACTTTAAATACAAAAAATGTTTACCTTTTAATTATTCTACATCTGAAAGAAAAATAATATACAAGGTGTTGCATTTAAAAAAAAATGTGATACAACATTTTAAATATTACGATGTTGGTGACGCCATAAAAAATACCCTGTATATGATAAAGTAACTTTTTCTACACGAATTTATTCTGGTATCCTTAATGTTTAAGAAAACATAGCTAAGTATTAATAATGTTATATTCACTCTAGTTTTTTACCACTGTTCGTATATAATGTTTTTAACCAAAGTTTTAGTAAATAAGAAATAGAATGGCAACACCGCAGTGTGCTTTAAATAAAGACAGTGTACTATATGCAGAATTTTATACCGAATCTAGTTATCTACAGAAAATTAAACTTGTTTTAAATAAAAAAAAGTTGTAGAAAATCTCTGAAATAAATAATAATATAAAAATATGTCATTATATATTTTTCCGCATTTCTTCCCATCAGAAGATTTTTAAATACAGAAGAATTGTTATCTACACGAAATGTGAAAATCTCGGTGAAAATATTCTGTTTTCAAGCAAGTTACTCGATGATCATTTTTTTTTATTTTATTTTATTGTGAACTCATATTTTCCTAAATACATATCTGTGAAACTATGGCGAGTACCACGACTATACTTTGCCTAGTTAATAGACCACGACTATACAGCTACGGCAGTGGTCACGGAGGGCGAGAACAAGGTCATATAAAGTGGCAGAAAAAAAACAAAGGATTTGACAAGGAGTAAAGCTACTAGTTTCCTTATACTATGCTACTAGTATAGTAAACGAAATAAAATTAGTTAACAGTATCATTATTAGCTATATCAATTTAATAAGTTATCTTTTACCATTTGACCAGATGCTCGGTGACATCAGAAATTATTTCGCTTCTACTTTAGATAATTTACATTAATCTCTTTTATTGAATTATTTGCCATATTACCTTGGAGCTCAAATGCACTGACCACGACGGCCAGGTCGCTGCAACCACGGATATATTGCATATATAGATACGTTCAGATGAACGATCAGTTTCAGCAGGGCTGCCAGATCTAACGATTTTTTACGTTTTACAAATTAGAAAATACTGTTTTTAGAAATGTTAAAATATCCGAGTTAACTAAAAAGAAGTTCCTATTCATGAGCTTATTAAATAATGTTCGATTAAATAATGCATTTAAAATATTAATGGTAATTACAGTAGGGTAATTAGTATAGTTTTCACACATTGTAGAGGAAGAAAAAAAAAGATTATACGGGGCAGATCAAAAAGAAACTTTAAATATATTTTTTTTTTATTTTTTAACATCGAAACTCGAAGGTATAATAACAGGTATCATACCAACCATAAATAGAGTATGTCATATAAAAATGTTTTGAATACTTACTAGAATCGACCCTTCATAAAAAATGGACTAGATTTAAGTTTCCCTTTGATCCAGTTTTTGGTTTTTCTGCACGTCTGATAATCTGCACGTGTGCAAAAACTACACTAAAATACTATACATACTGGACCACCGTTGTAGTAACATAGGCAGAACCGGACGAATTAGCGTATACCCTTCCGCCGGATAAAAAGCATGCGAAAAAATGCGATAAAATAAAAATAGGTAGATATGTGATAAGAATGTTTCATAATTTGTATTTATTCGTGTTTTAATAGCCAAAACGAATACATAGATTCTCGCGACAGTTCTCGACAAGTAAAATAATGGATGTTTACGAAGTTCGTGAGAAAATTCAAATTGTATAATGGTATTTCCAAAATAGGTCTTATCGGGATATACAAACAATTTTTCCACAAACTTTTGTAAATAGGGCAATTGTATCTTTACCTACTATATCAAGAGTTATTAATAATTTTGGAACACATGGGTGCGTGTCCCCATAAAAACACAAGAAGCCTGATGTGTTGATTAATGAAGAACAGGAGTTAAAGCAAGTGTTTAACCGTTTAATTAGTGGATATGGAACTATTTTCTGGCCCGCTATATAACCAGATCTTTCTCCCAATGATTTCTTTTTGTGGGGTTATGTAAAACCCAAAGTGTATGGTCATAATAGGGCTAATAATCTGGATGAGCTTCAAGTAAAAATACGAGAGGCTTTCCAAACTATTAGCCCTAGTATGTTAGCCAATGTCAGACGGAGATTTTGCGACCGCCTAGGCTTCTGCCTAGCACAAGAAGGTGGTCTTTTTCAACACTTGTTATAACTTTTTTTTATTTAGAGTAATTACAGTTGAGGGTTGGAACCTTTGGTGTTACACAGTAAAATAAAAACACTAAATCACCACAATACACCAAAACACTTTTACTTTTACACTGGACGCGCGTTTCGCTAACCATGTTAGCATCATCAGCAGATGATTATAAACTAAAGTACAATCTACAAGTTGAGCGTTTATAGCGTACAGCTCAGTGGGCTCCGCCACTGGTGGCAACAACTTGCCAACCGAAGTGACTGCCAACTGAGCGTATTTATTTAGATTTCCGCCACTATGCAGTCAGTAGAGACTTGTTTAACTTGAATTATTATCTATACCGTTGATTCTCAACAATATGTTCTCTCGTAAATCTTGCGTTGCCGAACATATTGTTGATAATGAACATTGTATAGATCTTAATAATTTAAAATTAATTAAACAAGTCTCAAATTACAGGCAATTAGATGCATATGAAAGCATCAGAATTAATAAATGTAAAGATAGTATGAACAGAGTCAACGGTCCATTTCCTTCAAGTTCTTTGTTCCTACTACTCTAGTGCCGGAAATCTAACTGTTACGCTCAGTTGGCTCTGACTCGGATGGCTAGATTTTGCCACGCCCACTCGGTGCCCACTGAGCGAGTATATAAACGCTCAACTTGTAAATTGTACTTTAGTTTATAATCATCTGCTGATGATGCTAACATGGTTAGCGAAACGCGCGTCCAGTGTAAAAGTAAAAGTGTTTTGGTGTATTGTGGTGATTTAGTGTTTTTATTTTGATTTAGAGTAATATTTTCGTTTTTTTTGCGTTTAGAGAATTTATTTATTTTTAGTTTTGGCTTGTAAATACACTCAAATAATAAAGATTTAAGTATTTTTATTTTAAATGTTACCTTAAGTGAAGGTAAACACTTAAAATGAAAATAATAAATACTCGGCACTCCTCGCGTTGTATTCCTAGTCTGTCACGACCGACCCGTCCAAGCACAATTGTAACTGCGTACTGCCTGACTAGCCGGCAGTGAATCTCGAGTACGCACGCAAATTGGGTACACGTAAATTCGTCCGGCAACTTGCTATGTTACTAGTAGCCTGGTTTTCTCTGTTTAATACTATATAATATTGAAAATTTTGCGTTGAATTTGACGGATTTCATCTGAAAAATCATTAATTTGGAAGAAAAGCGACAACAAACGACAGAAAATAATATTTTAGTGCAGTCTACTGGTTGCAGTGACCAGCCAACGGCCAGGCTTGGTCGTGGTCGTTAGTGCGCGTTGTTTCATTTGATTTAATGCGGTAGCAGCGACCTGGTCGTCAGTGCGTTTGAGCCCTTATTCAAAATATTAACTTTTTTTTTCCATTTTTGTTAACTGTATTTTCAAAACCCAACTTACCGTGTACATCTATTTTAACCCACTGTAGGATCGGTTCGTCTAGGGCTTCGCTCTCGACCTTACAAATAAACTGGGCGTTCAGATCGCCTCTGGTCAGCGTCAGCTGTAGTTTCGATCTGCCGGTTCCCACGCCATCTCCCGCATCGTTGGCCGTGTACTGAGCTGTAACAAAAGAAAAATAAATATTCGGTACATTCCTGCGTTTTTTGTTTATAACATTTACCACATAAAAAGGGTTTTAAAGGTAGAATGTTATATTGATTAAAGGAGTAAAGTAAAGATTCAAGGCCGTGTTACACGAGATAGCGAGACACAGCCTTCGGCTTAGGAATACGTAGATAGTGACGCGACGTGTTTTATTTTACGCGTATAAAAGTACTTGTTACATGTAAAAAACTATTTTTTATGCGTATAAAACTATTTGTTACATATAAAAAACTATTTGTGATACGTAAAAAAAACTATTTGTTACGCGCAAAAAATTATCTTTGGCATTTATTACTTTTTCAACATTTCAAACTACACTTTTTCAAAGATGTCCTTCAAATCGTTAATTTAACGTTTGTAAGAAGTTTCACTTCAAATATGCGCACATAGTGCACAAAAAAAATTTGGATTCATGTATCTAAATAATTTTCAGCGTTACAGTGTTTCTGCATTATTTCGAATGTAGCAGAAGCCAGCCAGCTTTGTTACTTTAACAAACAACAAAGATTTGAGCAATTTTATAACAAACTGAAATAAATATATATTTTTATCTTCCTGTGTGATATCTAATCGGTATACAGGATGTTCCAGGCTAAGCGTGCATTATAAGTTTCTAGTGAACCACAATATCTAGATCGGAGATTGTTTACACATCATTGTTTTACAACGAGATCTGTCGATTAAAAATATTTTCAATATGGCGGCACTTCCGGAAATAGGTACCGGAAGTTGTCAGCAACTTTCTTATTTTAAATAGGTATCCCCATTTTTTATTACATACTTAAATTCTCTGTAAAATTTTATGAATATTGATGTTAAACACTCTATACCTACATTAACCGTTTTTGCGAGAAAAAAAAATATTTAAAATTTTTGGACAAAAAAGGTACCTGTCAAAAAAAGTTGTATAGCCTAAAAGTCAAATTTAGTGATTACCACGGCTACTGTGACATAAAGAGAAGACATGTAGCTATCTATTTCAAAAATTAAATTGTTTAAATGTCAAACAATAATGGCAGTAGCTGTCATGGAATTGAGAGAAACCCACTATTTATATTGCACCAGTGAATAGGTTTTTCAATTCGTTACTTTTTAACTATACATGTTCCTATACCTAAAATAAATCGTTTTTAAGTTATTTAAGATTTAGTTTGAAAACGTGTATTTTTCTTGATTTTATCTAGTTTCCTTTGACATTAAATGTCAAACAGTCAGACAATTTATTTCCATCTGTCAGAAAACGAATTATTTGAATTTCCTATATCATAAATACTGCCTGCCCCCCTTAAGAGTTTAAAAAGTGTATTTATAAAAATATATCTCGTATTTTCGCTCTTTAGTGATATCTAATAGTTGATATTACTAATTATTAATAATATACTTAATAGACTATACACATATCTTTGACAGGCAATTTTTTTCGTCTAAAAATTTTTAATATTTTTTTTCTCAAAAACGGTTAATGTTAGGTACAGAGTGTTTGATATAAAAATTCATAAAATTTTGCAAATAATTTAAGTATGTAATGAAAAATGGGGGTAAACCATTTAAAATAAGAAAGTTGCTGTCAACTTGTTGTATTTCCGGATGTGCCGCCATATTGAAAATATTTTTAATCGATAGACTCGTTATAAAACAGTGATGTGCAAAAAATCTCCGATCTAGATATTGTAGTTCTCTAGAAACTTCTAATCTACGCTCAGCCTGGGACACCTTGTATATAGATAATCAAATATATCGATTTTTGCTATCCTATAACCCAAATTTGTATCCTATATATTCCTATATGCCTATGTTTTTCTTAGTAGTAGTTTTCACTCTTCCCATACTTTTCTTGTGATTTTGGTGAATATCAAATGTTAAAACTGCTTTTCAATCCCGGCGCCACAAATTTATTTCAAATCCTAATATTGGTCCTTAAAATATCTTAAAAAAATTGTTTATTTTTTTAAAATTGATGACTTCTAACGGACGAACGAAGCACTTTTGAATAGAGGTAAATTGTATCCAATGAACTTATTAATTCCAAAAATACGCAGTAGTGCTATGTCCACGGACTATTGGGACACCCTGTATATTAAAAAATACCAAAAATTAGACCAGAAAGGCTCTTAGCTATAATAGAACTGGTATTGCAAACGAACTAGGGAGAAGATTGCAATGTAAGAATGCATTAAAATACAATTAAAAATAATATCAAAGACCAAAAAAAATATATACTTATTTTATAATTTTACATCTCTTATACAGGGTTGTTCACCACATAGGACACGGAGTATTGTAACTAAACCATTAGATTTTTACAAATTGTACGTTTTGGGTTCGTTGAAGGACTATTAGAGCTACAATTTAAAAATATTTTTACAAGATACAGTGTGTCCCAAATGTGTAAAAAATATTATAGTTGTATTTTTTTAAATAGAACTCCCTGTATATTATTCTATTTTCAGATTCGACGATTAAAATAAAGGTAAATTTGATTAAGGTTTATCACACTTAAACCTTACCGTTTTTGAAATATTTTCAATTTTATAAAATTGCAGTAAAAATGTTAAGGCTTCATTTCTCCAAGGGTATCAAAGTTTTTAATACTAAATATTTACTGAAGATTATTTATTGATCAGATATTGTGTTGCAATAATAAAAATTTTACTACCTTATACAGAGTGTCCAAAAATTTATATTAAATAATTACTAGCTTTAAACGGCAACAACTTGTTTAATTTAAATGGAACACCCTATATATTTTACGTGAATCAGATGCACAATGTAATTGTCTATCAAATTGTATTGTTCCATTTTTTACCCATCTCCTCAAGTTTTCATAGAAAATGCATTTTCTTATAATTTAGACTTCATTTATCACCCATGGAATATTGACATTTTAGCTTATTTTTAAAGATGTAACAAATTTTCAAAGGGTACAGATACTAATATTGTCGATATAGTTCGCTTATTTAATTAAAAAAAAAATAAAAAACTGTTTAAATACTTTTTGTTACAGAGGACCAATTAATATGATCCCAGTATTTAAACTACATTAATTGACTGTTTACGGTGTAGTAATAATTGCTCCAAATACTAAAAAACTGAATTTTGTGTGTGTATTAAACAGTGTGGTAAAAAGTAACACCTTATAAATTTTATTCCATTTATTGCCGAATGCTTATTTATAAAAACAGACACATTCATTTTCATAACTTATTATTATATTGATTTCTGAGCCAAATCCACATTTATTTAGAATAATTTATTAATTAAAACAATTTAAGTTTTGGTGTTTTTGGTAGGAAATAATGGTGGTATATTTAATTGGTATACTCTTTTACAAAGATTTAAATAGTTTTTTTATGCCAATGGGCTTGCAATATTTACCACCTGTACATTTTGTACATATTATGGTGCTATAAAAAAATCTGAAATGCAATATTCCATGGGTATAGTGATAAATGAGGTCTAAATTATAAGAAAATGCATTTTCTACGAAAACTTGAAGAGATGGGTAAATAATGGTATAATACAATTTGATAGACAATTACATTGTGCATCTGATTCACGTAAAATATATAGGGTGGTCCATTTAAATTAAACAAGTTATTGCCGTTTAAAGCTAGTAATTATTTAATATAAATTTTTGGACACTCTGTATAAGGTAGTAAAATTTTTATTATTGCATCACAACACAATATCTGATCAATAAATAATCTTCAGTAAATATTTAGTATTAAAAACTTTGATACCCTTGGAGAAATGAAGCCTTAACATTTTTATTGCAATTTTATAAAATTGAAAATATTTCAAAAACGGTAAGGTTTAAGTGTGATAAACCTTAATCAAATTTACCTTTATTTCAATCGTAGAACCCAAAAATAGGATAATATACAGGGTGTTCCATTTAAAAAAATACAACTATAATATTTTTACTTATTTGGGACACTCTGTATCTTGTAAAAATATTTTTAAATTGTAGCTCTAATAGACCTTCAACGAACCCAAAACTTACAATTTGTAAAAATCTAATTGTTTAGCTACAATACTCCGTGTCGTATGTGCTGAACAACCCTGTATACTTAAAACGTTTTATAAACCATTCTGCCTCAGAAACTATTTTTAAATTTAATATAACTGCTACTTTTTCTCAAAAATATTCAGGTCACGGTATATTAACGTGTATGAAAAAAGTCCAGTGCCAACAGTAACACATTCGGCAAATCTGTCATTGTAAATCTGCAAATACGCGCGCACCTGCACGAGAGCTGAAGCCCCAGATGCGTTCATTAAAATTCAAATACTCATTCGACATGCGAGCGACTGCTGCTGGGCATTCCCGTCACGTCGCCAGCTCTTATTTTTTCATTCCGCTTGGCGCTTAGGCAATTCATTCTTTTCATCGAGAAAGGCATCTAGAAATCGTCGATAGCGATTGCTGCCATAGGCGTATGTACAGGGTGGCTCGAATTCGACGCTCATCATTGGGATTTCGGAAACCGTAAGAGATACAGGATCGGTTAAATGGAGGCAAAGTTACGCAATTTGATGCTCAATAAATGCCGTATTGGATTTTTATTTTTTTTTGCATAAAATATTCTGGTGATGGAATTTTCTGTACGAAACGTCGGCAAATATCAAAGTGACTATATATAGTGTTTTAAGAGTGATGAAAGGATTTAATTAAATTGAAAAAAAATCATGTCCGTATTTAAAAAAATTAAGTTGATGATGGTCGCCAGAAGGCGAAATGTCAGAGTCAATATTTAATCACACAGAGTTATAGAGCAGAAAAAGTTGCCATGAAAATTTGTTTTTCATTTTAAGTTATCTTAACAAATAAAGCCAGGAAAAAATAGAAAACAAAATTGAAAATTCCGTTTTTTTTTCGAATATATTCGGAAGTATTCGGAAATTTTCAAAATGCAATACGGCATTTTATTGAGCATCAAATTGCGCAACTTTGC